TCCCTACTTTTAAAGCTATCCTGCAGGCCTATGAGCACCTATCAGAGCAGTTCTCCTCCGGCGATTTTAACGAGTCAGATGCCCCAGAAGACCACCTAGTAATTAACGTTCGAGCTGGGTGGAAGAAACTTAAGAAGTACTACAAGAAGCTTGATGATTCACCTGCGTACTACACAGCAACTATACTCCACCCCTACTACAAATATTACTGCGATAACTCATGGAGGAGCCAGCCAGGATGGCTTAAGAGAGCAGATGCTCAATTCCAGGAGTTATAGGCAGAGTACAAGGGAGAGCAGGGCGGGCCATCTCCACCCCAGAAGAAGGCTCGGATTGCTTCTAATCTGCAGGAGCAGATCGATAAGTACGCCAATCCAGCTCCACTAGGCAGTAGAGATGTGCAGAGCGACGAATTCACACGCTGGAAGACTGAGGAGCCACATCTGCCTTGGGACTATCCATTTTCTATCAACCCTATCGCATACTGGATTGCATATCGCCACAAGTACCCAAAGCTCTCCCAGCTCGCCCTCGACGTCCTATCTATCCCAGCTTCAAGCTCTGAGTGCGAGAGGCAGTTCTCCGAGATTGGCGACCTTCTAGAGCCCCGGCGGGCAAAGCTCTCACCCCAGGTGCTCTCTGCTATCCAGTGTGTGAGACGTTGGCTGAAAGCAGGACTCAAACGCCCCCCAGAGCTCTCCTCCATCTCCGAGACTACTCTAGAGACGATTAGCTCGGTATACCAGCTCTTTGATTGGATTTGCGACGACTAAGGAAATTTTTGTATAAGGTCACGTGCTAGGGCAATTCAACTATCAATCGATCAATTTGCAATTCAATTAGGCCTCTAATTAGCCAATCAATCAATCAATTCAATTAGGGTGACGTTTTGGGATCAATCAGTCCAATTAGAGCCTCCGGAAGTTGATTGATTGATTGTTAGCAAGTCTGCCACTGTGGTACTATACTTGAGTGGGTTTAAAACTGCTCAGGGCTGAATAATACAGTGAAAGTAATATGACCTTGTAAATTTAATCTCAGGCCAAGAGGCTGCCATGGCTTCAGACAGCTCGGTGTCGTTGGCAGAGTTTGCTCAACCAGTACTTACCCACTGCTCATCCGGCGCTTACCCACTACTCACCTATTGCTCACCACTGCTCACCCAGCTCTGCCCACCTAGTGTTCTCCGTTGAGATTCTCCCTGGCTAGCAAGCGGAAGAGCAGATTACCGATAACTAAATCACATTACTTTTCTGCGCTGTGCCGCCCCTATCGGTGACGCCGGCGGAAGCGAAATTCGCGCGGTTTCAAAAACAAGGATGCGTGGCTATATTGAGACGAAGAACGGGTAAGGCGACGCGAAGACGGAATTGTTAGATGAAGATAGAAAGCGATATATTGATACATTTCCATTTTGAAGACACAAAGCGTAAAATTTCCCGATCCGGCACGCCAAATGCGCAAAACCAAACCCCTCACAAAACAGAGGTCCAAACCTCAAGTTTCTGCAGCACTTGGTTCGGTATCGATCAAGATATATGCAGACTGCGTCAGCCTAGAGACATTTCGCTCTAGAAGATTCTCGGATTCTTCACAAAGCATCACGAAGTCTTTTTGGAAATTTTAGCTTCCTGCCCCCGCAACTAATCTCTCTTTGTCCGTTAGACTTTCCCAGGTGTACGATAAAGCTTCATAGGGCGGTATCTGATCTAGCTCAACGACGGAGAGTTGACATTCGACAAGATCTCTTGTTCTTCACTAGGAAGAAGTTCTAAAATACGGACCGATGGCTTGGACTTTTAAGCTTTCGTAAACGTAGTGTCCTGCTGCTGGTCCAAGACGTGTCGTTTGCGGGGCTTGTTTGACGCACCGAATTCGGCAGGGCTGATATGTTGCTTCCTCTTTAGGCCTCTGAGATTTTCGGCCCTCGATCTCTTATCTTTGGTAGGCATTGATAAGAGAGTCTCGATAATTGGGCCGATATTTCCGAAAAGCATGGGATTTCTATTGAAATGAAGAAGTACCAAAGTACCAGAACGCTCTCAACTCATAGCCTCGTTGAAAACGTGCGCAAAGCAAAATCGTGTGGTGGCTAAGCTGGCTTAGCAGCGTGGCTGCGTTTCCCATTACTCCTCTGACTCGACGAGGTCCGCTTATGAGGTTGGCAAGAGGCTGATTAAGTCATTCCAACAAGCTTTCGGAGTCTCCTGTGTACAAGAATCCTAAAAGCTTAATTGGCCTGCAAGTTAATCAATAAACGGCGCAATAAACAACCGCTGAATCCGTTCGTACCCGGTATAGCATCTACAAAGCAGCCAATCAATATCAAGACGATAGAAATCGGGCAAAAGGCTGAGCCTACTCCCACGTAGGTGTCTCTCCAAGACTCTTCGGGGCCACCTCATTTCGTGCCCGAATTCTTTGTGGATGGGGTAATTCGGGAATAGAGGATTATGAAGTATGCTTTTTGCCCGTGTCGGGAGATGTAGTGTTGGACTCAGAGGACAGAATTTGAAAGTGACTGAGGCAGTACAGCACTATTACATAACTCTGATCCGCAAACTGATATGCCATGCCTTGGAATGAGGATCCTTTTATATGGCTCCTCACTTCGTGTGATTCGGTAGTGTACGTGATTACATCGAAATAATCAAAAAGCGTTGGTGAGGTGTAAGCCGTGACATAAATATATATAAGCGAATGTGAACAGCAGTAATGAGGAAGTGCTTGAGAAATTTGTACCAGCGCTCAACTAGAGGAAGAATAGCCTACGTTACTCATGCAGGACATTTCCAAACCTTTGGCCCAGGCATGACATAGTCCTCCGGGTTCCTAGAATTCGTATCCCAAAGAATACCCGGATCGTCCTTCTTATACGCACCCGGAAAGCCCACCCTCGCCGCGGCCTCCACATCCGTAGTCCCACTCCCCAGCACCTTCACTTGAAAGCATTCTGGATAGAACTGACACTTGCCCGGCGTTTTGCAATCGCTCAGAGCAATAATTTCATGCCTTACAAGATACTCCCCTGGTGTCAAACATGCCGGCACTGTAAAAGTCCACCGGAACTTCTGATCAAACAGGACCTGCGTCGCCCAAGCTTCGGTCGTGGCGTCCCAGCCCATCTCGTCGACCTTGAACCAGGCGTTGCCTTCTCTGCCGGTGAAATTACCGCAGCCACCGTCTCCGGAGCATTTGGCCATATATGTGAGGATAGGACCAGAGTGCGGCCAGCCGTTCCAGATCATGTCGATTTTACTGCCTGCAGTTACTGGGCCGGTTCGTGAGACGCCATTGTCGGCGATGGGCTCGGCGTTGAAGTTGCAAGTGATGTCTTTGCTAGAGATGTCGAGGACGGGGCCGTCGCCGCCGATGCGGCGGACGATACTGGGTGGTGCACGTGTGAAGTCGGGGGTTGCGACGGGGAGGAATGCGGTGTAGGAGGCACTGTTCATGACCACGGAGACGAGGTGGCTACGACAATGTCAACGCTTCTGATTCCTATATGTTGCCTCATTTACAAACCCATGACTGAAAACGCCAGCTACTAGTGAGCTAATGACGCTACCAATAGTTAGAGAACGCATTTTGTGAGGCGAGGAAAATGCACCCTGGCCGATTGATGTAAGCCTAAATCTGCTGGTCTATGATTCAATTTATATTCCACATTTCTATCTGCACTTTTAGAATACCAAACAGTTCAGTCAATTTTACAATTGCTAAAGGGGTCCTTAGTCGTGGATGTTTGGTTTGATGTTCCACCATTCATTTCGGTGTAGTCCCTACAACACCAAATCTAGTCACGAGCTCAAAATTGCTCCATTCAGTAGTAGATGTTGTATGATGTCAAGATATTGCTGTGGGCTCGAAGGTACGAAGTGCCGCATTGCCGTCGTCTACATTGACCGCGCCTTGCTACTCCACTGCAACTGAACGTTTCTGGAAACTCTCAAGGTATTCCTCCGCAAAATGCATGGTGCCTTTCTGGATGAAGGGCAAGCCGCCGTAAATCAGGGTACAATCAGCGATGTCTCCACTCTCATAGCAGATAAACGGAGATGATATTTTCACCGTCTCGTCAAGGGTATCTTTAGCCACTCGCCCTGTACTTCGCCCTATACTCGTCCAGTCTCTTCAAATCTTCAACACTTCCCAAGCTCTTGAGATACTCAATGACATCGTCTAATGTGAGAATAGCAAGCACTGGAATTCCGTACTGCTTCCTCACCTCGCCAATGGCGCTTGGTCTCGGAGTACCATCGTCGTCCGTGGCACTGGGTGTTTTTTCCAAGCGGTCGAAAGCAATGATGATACCCACCAGCTCGCCCCCTTCTTTCTTAATAATCTCAATTGCCTCTCGGATGGCAGTCCCGGCTGTGATTACGTCGTCTACAATGACAATTTTCTGTCCTTGTAGAGAAGCACCCACGATGTTCCCACCTTCTCCATGATCCTTTGCCTCTTTTCGATTGAAACTGTAGCTCTTCTTTCCATATTTTTCCATGTTCAGATCTGCCAGCTTGTCCACTGTTGCGGCTGCCAATGGGATTCCTTTATATGCTGGTCCGAAAAGCACATCGAATTGAAATGACGGGCTAGCCTCCGCGTGCTCAGCTAGCGTGTGTGCATATGCAGAGGATATAGATCGCAGAAGGTCAGCGCGGTGGAAGAGTCCAGCATTGAAGAAGTAGGGCGATATGCGTTTTGACTTGAGAGTGAAGGTGCCGAATTTGAGGGCGCCAGCTGAAACGCAGTCTTTAAGGAAGCTCTCCTTGTATGAGGGTAGTGATACTTGATTCGAGGCCATTTTGAGGTGTTTTCCCTGCAATGTCCAGGTGGGAGATTCGATGTGAAGTTCTTTCGTTGAGTTTCCGCCGATCGCGCACTACGAGGTGCACCCAATGGCGTGCTAGCAGTTGTGGCAGGGGCTCTGTTAACCCCATGTCTTATTTTGCGTTACATATATTATTCATAATTTTTCAATTCATAAAAAAAACTCCGGTTCCATGGCGCAATTGGCTAGCGCGTCTGACTGTTAATCAGGAGGTTCTGAGTTCGAGCCTCAGTGGGACCGTAATTAATCCTTTTTTTTTCCGTTTCTTTTTTAATTGTTTCATTTCATCACGACGCTAAACTTTTATTTGCAGTGCTGATAGTGAGGGCGAGAAATACTTAGGTGTGGAGGAAAGAATCGGCTACCTCGGAATAAATGCCAGAAATCGCCGATGGCCCGTGCGCACATTCAATGATCATGATCACTCCCTGCCAGAAATTTATCCAACGCCTTCACAGCCAGCGTCGCCATCCATCGCCATCACCTGCGCATCTTCTCCTTGTGCAGTTTAATTTTTTTCCTCTCTTAGTAGTTACTTTTTCCGCATTTTGGGCGTTCAGAAACTCCACCGCGCCATTGAAGGCAGCCGCGATTCTTCATTCTCGTTCCTCAATCCCAACCTTTCTACCTTCAACATGACTATGTACGCTTCCCTCTTCTTCAAAGCCTAATTGAACATAGCATACTAACGGACTGCCCAGCTGGGACACCCTAACCGGCCGAAAATCCACCTCACCACCGACACAATCAGCCACGGAACCACACGACAACTTCACACCAACACCTTTCGACCCAGCAACAGCCGTTCAGAATCCCTCCGAATTCATATTAGACCCCTCTCAACTCCATCCCCTTGCGGGACTCAATCAAGGCACGCTCGACTACCTCACCCTCGAAGACTCTGTCCTCTCCGATCTCCCTGGTTCGCGCTCCGCTCTCCCTTCCCGAGGCTGGTCAGACGATCTCTGCTATGGAACTGGTGTCAGCTATCTCACTGCACTGGCCGCTGGAGGAGCATGGGGTTTGGCCGAAGGCTTGCAAAAGACATCCCCGACAGTAGCGCCCAGGCTAAGGCTGAACGGTGTGCTTAATGCAGTGACGAGGAGAGGGCCGTTCTTGGGAAACTCGGCTGGTGTGGTGGCTATGGTGTATAACGGAATTAATAGCACGATTGGGTATTATAGGGGCAAGCATGATGCAACAAACTCTGTTGTGGCGGGCGCGTTGAGTGGGGCGATATTCAAGAGTACGAGGGGGGTTAGGCCAATGATGATCTCGGGAGGTATTGTGGCCAGCGTTGCGGGGACGTGGGCGGTGAGTCTGCATTATAACACATTCAAGAAATGGGGTACTGACTATGGTCCAGGTTTTCCGAAGAGTGTACTTTGAGCGTGATTAAGAACGTTTGGTAATCGGGCGATCTGGAGAAAAGTTAAAGGAATTCGGAAGCTGTCAATCGTAAAAGAGTGTGGTTTTCGGGTTAAGGGGAGGGATTGAGAGGTGAAGGCTTGCGGTTTCAGTTCTAGCAGGGCAGTTTTCATGCATTAGTATCTTTGTTCATTCTCAACATACTTCTCTCACCTCTCCTCATGGGTTTCCCATTGTAAAATAGATGGCTGCAGATACGGACTGAAAAGGATCAGTGGATATTATGCAGCTTAGATCGGGAGTGGTGTATATAGGTCGGGACGTCTAGTGCTCAAGAATGTAGGATCAATGAATGTGGAAAATAATTCAATACTAAATTGAATCGTCTCAAACACGATTTTGGAGATCTCAGGGATCGTGACTCTCCGGGGGATGAATAAGAGTCCCCATACAGCGTCCGTCAGTCATACCTTCTACTTCTAGACATGCTATACGGACACTTTATAGCAAGGGAGATAAGAAGAGCCGGACCGCAACTATCAAAAAGTCGACTTAACACATAACGAAGAATCGGGGTCGTTAATACTACTAACCTATCATCCAAATACATTGGGGGCATATCCCTCCCAACACAGAACTGAAACCCCATCTATTTTAAATATCAGCCGTAAATTCGCTAAAACCTGGAAATCCTCCCAAAGTTACGCCGTGGTGACCGAAGACCGTACTATTATATCTCTATCTCAACATCTTCGGATGAGACACCCTGTTATCTTCGTCCTCGCTCTTCGTAGCTCATGTGGGCAGCTCCTGCGGCGCCGGTTTCGGCGTGCCATTGTGAGCATACTTCGTCGCGGCCTTGTTCTCTGTCCCAGCTGCCATTTCCGTCGCATGGTCACCACTCAATTCAGTAGGCGGCATATTCGCCATCTGTCCTTGATACGGGCTATACGCATGCGCAGGCATGTAATCCAGTTGCTTAGCCGGGGCATTCTTCCTCTTCCGCCACCAAAGTAGTGCTCCAGCGATAAACACAATACCAGCTACACTTCCAATCACTGGTCCCGCTATCCACGCTTTGCTCGAGTCGTCATTATTATTGCCGCCGCCGCCGCTAGGAGCACCAGTCCCTGAAGGTGCGGACGAAGGAAGAGAGGTTCCGGAGAGCACCGCATATGTCGCCTGCGCCTGGTCCAAAACTACCGACGTCGTGTTCTGGAGATAGCAGTTTTGATAGCCGCCCTGCATGCTGGAATCGAAAACCACGCCCACACATCCCTTATCGCTGGTTGCACACGCATCCATACAACTGGTAATATTCTGCCGGTGTAACAACGTAATATTCGTGACAGTATTCAACTGTCCGCAGTGAATCTCGAAATTCTTATTTCCTGTCGCCGTGTACTTATCCTCCTTCGGACAGTTCGTATCCACTCTATCCATACTTGTAATAGTCGCTGAGTGTAGAACACCCATACTCGAAGGTGGAGTGTCAAGAGTGTTACCGAAACCGGTTTTGGGCCAGCAGTTTGCAAAACCGATTTCGAGACCTGGATTGTAGGACACGGCGCGACAAAGCGGATGCTCTTTTACGCAGAACTGTAGGCATTCTTCGAGAGATTCGGCGTGGTAAAACCCTACGAATGGAGATTGGTTACAAGAAGGATAGCCTTGCCAACAGATGTCGAAAGTGCCTATTACTTTTCCACAGTGTACTGTATATCCCAATCCGTTGTCAAGGGTGTGCGTGGAGAGGTGATCGGCAGGGCAGTCTTCGTTCAGTGAATTCATGTTGCCGTTCTCGACGAGCGCGGCATGGATGCCGGTGTCGTTTACCATGTTTCTGGTCGAGGTGGTGGAGTTACGGAGCCAGCAGTAGTTGTCTTCTCGCCAGACGACGCCGAAGCAGCCCTCGCCCTTGCCCCAGTATCGTGAGCAGCGCTCCATGCATTCTTGCATTGAACCCACTTGGAAGGGTTCCATTGCGTCTGTACGTATATTATCAACTTCTGTCCTTCTTTCCCCTCGGAATCTTGCTGGATGGTTATGGGAGGCGTGAACTCACCATTCCATGGATTGTTCTTCTCGCAATACGTTGTGAAGTTCAGCCCGTTCTTGCTGGTATATTTGTCCGGGCATTTTAGCATCTGCCGTATATCGAGGTCGCGACTTTCTATCGGTTCTGCTACGACTATATTCCTTCAATCAGTAATGCTCTCCTCGTACTCCTTAACAAGGAAACGTACGCGGTGTCGCCAAAGCTCCCGAAGTCCAAACCAGAGCTATCAAGCCCGTCTGCAATACTACCAACCTCATATTTCCGGCTCTTTTCCAACCCGCCTCAATTATAGGACAAAAGAAAATAAAGTACAAGTTCAGGAAGCCTTTCTTTCTCAAGGTAACGCCCGGAAGTGGGTGGGCCGGCGCTCAAACCCCAACGTGCCCATCTTCCACCAAAACAACCCCCAACACTGCCCTACCATGATGACAGGGATATGCATCCTCCATAGGGACGGCGTGCTGCTAGTGGGTGGTGAGGACAAGACTAGTGCGTGAAGTCGGAGTTAAGTTTTCAGGCTAGGCTGGATGAGGCTTAGATCAGGCCCCGTTGAAGTACGATTTTGTGTGGCTGGTTGGACGGGACCGGGACAGTGGGCACGGTGACGTTTGAAGACTTTCAGATGCGTTGGACGCCCTGGTGAGATTATTCATAAGAGAAGTCGCTACTGACTGTCCCTTATCTGTAAGAAAGAAACGTTGAAGACAGACGGAGAGAGCCAAAGCATGACCATCCAATCTCCCGGCTCTTCCCCATGCCCCTTAACTCCAAGCATAATTGCGCACCGCATTTTGGCAACCCTGTGCCAAAGTCCGAAATTCCCATCCATCTCCCCACCTCCGATCCCAGCTGCCATCAGGGTGGTGGTTGTCTGGTTGGAGGAAATGCACTCACATTGCCTAAATCGAGGCCACCGCCTCCACTTGAAGCGCCCACGGCGCCTAAGTGAGGCTTTGGAGAAACGCAAGCTCAAAGGCTTCTATGCTACTATTAATAAGTCACCGTTATGAAATCTCTCAATTACCTCTATCCGGTGAACGAAACGCTTGCAAGCATCCACAGGAGTAACGGAGAGATTTTCGCCACTCGTTCATCGTTAAGTTTGTATTATAGCTGTAAGCATACGGCTGTCTCAGACATCTACAAGTATATGCATTGGTATAAAATGGCTGCACCCGCCGCACACGGGTTACTCTAAGACCACACCCCCAAAGCTCTTGTTAAATGAAGCTCTTTTCAAACGCCACTATTTCAGCCTCCTTGGTATCTTATGATAGGATTGGTGCCGGAATTTTGAAAGCGAAAATTTGTCCCCCGAAACTAGCAGCTTAAGCCTTTCAGCGCAGATAATTGAGAAATTTTCAACAGGGGTTTCCAGAGCACCTTTTTCTTGATAAGGCGTGGATCTTCGTTCCTGGAGACGCCACTCTGCAACGGCCAAATTCCTCAGCTGAGATCTTCATGAAATCACGTGAATGCTTGGAAATAGTGCTTCGCCTGAGATGAAATGCACGGAATTGCTTCCACGGTTGATTCTGTGATGATTCAAATTGTAAGCCGCTGCAATCATGTATGCAAAACTAGGCTAGTCGCTCAGCTGACTCGGCAATTGCCTTACACATGCAATCTCTCATATAAATGGTAGCTCAGAAGCCTTAGCTGAGACAATCCATCCTTTTTCATTAAGAATACATACGGCTTACACAACTCTTCCTTCACAAGTGCAGAGGGCGAAGAATACGAAAGACTCGAGAACTCAGTTCTTGACATAAACGCCAATAAAGAATCCTTCGAATTGTGATCGGGCTTGAAT